CGACATAAAGCCTGTAGTAGGTCGTCATAAAGCCTGTAGTAGGTCGTCATAAAGCCTGTAGCAGGTCGTTATAAAGCCTGTAGAAGGTCGACATAAAGCCTGTAGAAGGTCGTCATAAAGCCTGTAGGAGGTCGACATAAAGCCTGTAGTAGGTCGTCATAAAGCCTGTAGGAGGTCGTCATAAAGCCTGTAGCAGGTCGTCATAAAGCCTGTAGAAGGTCGACATAAAGCCTGTAGAAGGTCGACATAAAGCCTGTAGAAGGTCGACATAAAGCCTGTAGAAGGTCGACATAAAGCCTGTAGAAGGTCGACATAAAGCCTGTAGCAGGTCGTCATAAAGCCTGTAGCAGGTCGTCATAAAGCCTGTAGCAGGTCCTCATAAAGCCTGTAGAAGGTCGACATAAAGCCTGTAGGAGGTCGACATAAAGCCTGTAGAAGGTCGACATAAAGCCTGTAGAAGGTCGACATAAAGCCTGTAGCAGGTCGTCATAAAGCCTGTAGAAGGTCGACATAAAGCCTGTAGCAGGTCGTCATAAAGCCTGTAGGAGGTCGACGTAAAGCCTGTAGTAGGTCGTCATAAAGCCTGTAGCAGGTCGACATAAAGCCTGTAGAAGGTCGACATAAAGCCTGTAGAAGGTCGACATAAAGCCTGTAGCAGGTCGTCATAAAGCCTGTAGGAGGTCGACGTAAAGCCTGTAGAAGAGCGCGCAAGAAGGAAGTCTGCAGATCGGAAGAGAATCGAGTATCCAGCGAAGTTCTAGGTCAAAGGCCAAGGTGGTGCATTTGGGAAGACTGGCTTGTTACCAGGGAGAGAGGACTAATTGGACCTGATCGGGACGATCTGGTTTAAGGGGGAGGTAGTGTTACGAGAAGAGCACTTGCAACCTCCGCCAGTAGATGGCGCGTTCGCCTGTTTTGCATCCGCAACTGATGCGGAAGTCGCCGACTGCCGTGATCCCGTTTCCTGCGGAGGCCACCTCTCCTGACTGTAAATACCTTTTTATATTGGCCCCAGGAGGTGGCGTAATGTAAATACCCGTTGTTTATTATTCGAGTTATATGTAATGTTTAGTAATATATGACAATAAAAAAAGTGCTTCTAGTTCTCCGTGCCGCCTCCTGTCATCTTCGTCGGGCCGCTGCTGCTATTGCTCTTCTGGTCAGTCTCTCGTGTCCCCCCACCAGTGGTAAGGCCGAGAGATACTGCCAGGAGAAGGGAGTTTCCACTCGAGCAGTGGAACTCAGGAGAGCAAGTCGGGGTGCTAGCAGGGAGGAGCTACTCCGCGGCGGAGGAAGCAGTCGTGCCCAGAGATTGGTTGGGATCCCGCGCGACAATATATATATAGTAAAAAATACATTAAAAATGAGAATAAAATTTTAATGAACCTATTTGAGCCTGTCAATGTAAGCGACATTATATATATTATAAATTATATTTTGTTATAAGCCATATTTTATATAAAATCAGTTTGTCCCATTTTGGACTCAAAGGTACATGCAAGAATTTTCTGAAAAATGATTAATGATATAGTTTGCTTGATCGGCTTTTTCATATTTTATACAAAGAAGATGCTTGGCTTAAAATATATTTAATCACATGAAATTTTAAAAGTACAAAAGTTTTGTTATTTTTCAAATAATTCTTTTATATACAACAACAAACGACGAAAGCCTTTTATTAAGGCATCTTGTATGATATAGACTTGCCTGGAGTCTAAAAAGAAATACAAAGACGGTGTATCAATTAAAATAAATAATGATGAAATATACAGGTCTTAGTGATGAGACATAAAACAATCACTACCTATCTTCTAATCTTCTTTTTCAAAATCTCAAATGATATTCTCAACTATTCTGCATACATTTTTACATTATCTTTCAATTTCAAGTCCAGATATAATTTAACATTAGAATTCAATTCATGATATCGCAAATTTATTTTTATAGATGCAGTAAACGCAAAGATTAAACAAATTATATTTAGCATATATTATTTATAAATTTCAATAATTGTGAATTATGATTAAAATGATTTTAAAAATATTTGTTTCATTTAAAATCTTAAAAAAATGAATAAAATATATATTTATAAAAGTAATAAATTTTAAAATATTCTGTGGTAAATTCAGAGCTCCTTTATTTGGAAAGACTTTTGTTCTCAACTCAAAACCTTTTTTTTTCGTAAATAGTAAATAGAAAGTTTCTTATTTGTTAAAAATTTTGTACAGGTACGTAATCCAGTGATTCTCAACCTTTTTTTTATTGCGGCATTATTTTAAAGATTTGAAAATTTGGCGGCACAATTTTAGAATTTCGCGGCACACTTTTGCTAACTTGAATGCAAGAAAATTCAAATTATGTATCAATATTTCTATGCAAAATATAAGTAATATACATCTCTAACATTTAATTTGCTAATTTCGTTATTTTAAAAAGTAAAAAAATGAAAAAGAAAAAAAGAAAAACCAATACAAACGTGAACATAATCATATGACTAAAATTCGGCGGCACATTTTTAGAATTTCGCGGCACACAAAATTACCGCGGCACAGTGGTTGAGAATCACTGACGTAATCTATTTAAATCAAGCATCATCTACTTATATATTTGCCTTATTCTGTCTGTTTGCTTGTCTGTTTGTTTGTCTGAAGCTCACGGATGGGAATTTTCATAACCATCGGTGGTTCAGTGGTAGAATGCTTGCCTGCCACGCGGGCGGCCCGGGTTCGATTCCCGGCCGATGCATTTTTTTTTTTTTTTTTACAATTTTCAAAACTCATTTATATATTATACAAGAATGACATCCACGGCGCCAATTTATAATTGTAACGAATAGTATTTGAATAAAAGCATTTAATCGGGTAAAACCCGGGCGTTGCCCGGGTCATTCGTATATAATAATTGTATAAACGAATGCAAGACAAAATCACCGCGAATATTTCTTTTTTTTTTATGGCAATTTCTTTTTAAGGCAATTATCGTTATTTATCGTTAATTTTTGTTTCGACTTTATTGAAAAAAAAAAACGATATGGTGCCTTTAAAAAATGATCTTTATTACTATGCAGTTTTCTATTTAGTCAATATACCTAAGTTCATGTTGCAAATGTAATTATCTCTATCGATTTAGTAGGTGAAATGCAAAAAAAAAAAAAATCGACATGATGAAATCTTTATGAAAATTCACATTTTTATTTTTATATTTTCAAGACACACACAGTTTGGGGCGGGACGTTTTACAAGAGAGACATCCACGGCGGCAATTTATAATTGTAACGAATAGTATTTTAATTAAAACATTTTAAAAACACACAGTTTGGAACGGGACGTTTCACAAGAGTGACATCCATGGCGCCAATTTATAATTGTAACGAATAGTATTTGAATTAAAACGTTTTTAAAATATATACGCACTCGGGTAAAACCCGGGCGTTGCCCGGGCCATTCGTCTAGTTATTAAAATAATTGCCTAAAACACATAAATTCTATTTGCTACTATTATTCCTCACACTTGTAAAGTTTGGATTTATTTTATATTTTAAAATGCTGGCTCTCCATAATGCCTGTTTCGTTTGATTTTTCAAAACAATGCGTTATTGAATAAATATTATAGAATAACATTTAGAGAACTGGCAATATTTTAAGTTATAGAGCATCACGTTAAACCTTAGAATATATTTCGTTCAAAATAAAGTGAAAAAATAACATCAAAGGTAGATAGTATTTTCTAAAAGCAATATTGCAACTTTTATGTTAGGGTTAGTGAAATTTGATCGAAGAGCAGTGAATTTTTTTTATCGATTTGTTTTAAAATTGTTTTATTATTATTATTATTTTATATTTGAGAAACCCAACTAAAAGTATAAAATTTTATTTTGCTCTAAAAGCGAACATTTCTAACCAAAATACACATGTTTTTTGTCCAATACTAGCATGTACCAGCTGAAGGGAGTCATCATGCCATACAGGTCCTCCAAGCGCAAGGAAGCCAGGGTACCAGAGGTAGACAAGGAGGGAGAGAAGAAAAAGATGTCTGTGTACGAGATCTTGCGCAAGGCCCGTGTGGACGCCAAGCTGGTGGGAGTGAGGGAGAAGAAGGCCAAGGAAGCCCAGGAAAGCTTGGACGCCGCCATGCCCAAGAAGTAAAATCAAAAACATGGTCCATTAAATCTGTTCTTGTATAAAGTTTATTCTAACAGACACCTCTTTGTTCCTTGTATATCTCTAACCTTATGTTGTGGGATCAGTAATGGCTCGATGGTGTGGTTGTCCAACCTTTATATAGCCTATGGTATATCTGTTGTCAAAATATGAATCCTAATTATATTTCAGCATCAAATCACAGAATACAGATCTTCGAACACTTCTATTAAATCTTTCAATTATAGAGGAATGGATAAAAATAATACAAACTCTTATATAAAAGGTTTTTGCTTATCCCTAGTACATATGGTACAGGCCATGATAATCTTAGTGTGAAGTAGGTGACTGCTAATAACAGTAACACATGGTTATAATATCTTATTTCTCAAGTTTAAAGATCCAATTGTGTGTTTGTTCTAACCACTGTTATAACATGGTCCAACAGTGTTGCTATTACAGGTTCAACTGTGTAAAGGTGTTTTATTGGAATATAGGATCTATTCAGAGTTATAATTTGTGTTCACAAACTTTGTTGTAAATTGTGTAGCCTAACCAGGAACCCAATTGACCCATAATTGTTCCCCCTTATACCAGTCAAAACACTTTCTCTATATTTATAAGTTTTTTTTTTTTGCTTATCCCTAGTACACGTGGTACTGGCCATGATAATCATGGTGGGTAGTTAGCGACTGCTTTTTACTGTAAGCGCACCACATGTCTACACATGTGAAAGCAGTTCGACTTTGCACTTACAAATGTGCCAGAGCCCCGTTTGGTTACTTGCACTCGCTGGTGGGGTTGGACTTTTGCAAGAATCGGGGGCCATTGGAGCATTTTTTCTTTTTTTTAAACAAAAAATGGCCAATGCGGGGATCGAACCCGGGTCGTAGTGGTCGTAAACCAAACGGTTTAACCAGCCTTCCAAATAGCTATAGTGAAGTAAAATTTCCAAGATTTAAAAAAAATGCTACATTTAAAAAATTTAAATTTTAGTTCCCTTGCTTCTCTAAGGTAAAAATCAGTTAAAATATGTAAGTGTCATTTTAAATTTCTCCCCAAAATTGAAAGTGACTTTGTACTTTTCTTAAACCTGATATTGTGATGTTCCTGAGTAAACCTGAAGTGACCACATTCATTAACACACTTGGGGGTCGGTGGAAGGATGGTCTAAATTGTTGGTTTACGACCGCTACGACCCGGGTTTGATTCCTGCATTGGGCACTTTTTTCTGATTAAAAAAAAAAAAAGAATGCTCCAATGGCCCCCGACACCAGCAAGTGCAAGTAACCAAATGGGGCTCTGGCACATTTGTAAGTTCAAATTCGAACTGCTTTTCACACGTGTAGACATGTGGTGCACTTACAGTAACAGCAGTCTCCTACACACCATGAATATCATGGCCTGTACCACGTGTACTAGGAATAAGCAAAAAAGAAATTACACACTTGATAATACTAATTTAAAAGCATGCTGAGATATTTTTCCCATTCAGTACCTTTTGATAGTAACAATGCGATCACTGAAATATCACATTTTTAAATTTGGATTTGGCCTTGTATTTTAAAATGTAATTTGGATGTGATCTTTAATATTGAATTACGGCAAACTATTAAATTGAACAAGATAATTTTAGTGGTAGCATTGAGTATACCATTACTTAATTACATTGGTGTTTAAATGCTTTAGTTTCCATAAAAAAAAGTGTGGATAGTACTGCAATAGTGTGCTCTACCTCTATGGAGGCTGTTGGGTCAGTTTTCCTATTGTGAATGTGAAGCTAGGCCAATCGATGCGTTGCATGTACCCATCTTGAAGTAGAGTCGAACCTTGCAACATGACTTGGGACCAAGGTTTTAAGTTGTTAGAACCATTTTAGTGCAGGTGCTAAAACAATTTGGATGTCAAGTTGTTGCTTTGAGATTCAATTTCAAACTCCTAAATATAAATAAAAATGTTCTTTTGAAAATAGAGCAATCCATAAATAAATCTTGAATTAAAAATGTTCTTGTACGTTGGAATTGAACCCCAACATTTGTTATGGCCCAAGATTATTTTCTTCCAATGTAACAATCTGGTAAACAATCAACACACAAGAAATCTTTTTATATATTTTTTTATTGGTTTTACTTTTTTGTTCCACAAATCATTCAACTACATATGCAAATAAGGGATTACGCAACACATGCAACTTCAAAAATATTAAAAATTGAAAAAAACTTGCAACACAGAAAATAATAATATTGGCATTCTTTTTTTTTTTACAAAATGTCTTTATAGGAACAACTTTTTATCTTGGCTGGATTTGTATTGACTTTATATAACACAGAAGAAATTAACAATCGCACAAAGTGGGTTGAACTTTTTATAATTAGAAAACACTATTTAAAAGATTATGCAATTTTTAAAAAAATATCATGATGTATCTAGAAACAGAGGTAATATGTAATAATAAGTTATAAATCTTTTGAAAGTATATCAAAATGGAAGGTACAATTTTGGGTTATAGAAATAGGTCCTGATATACCTTACATTTCTACTCCAAATTGTAACTTATCAAAGGTTTATTTACTCAAATACATTTTAAAACCACAGTTAAGTTTAAAAGTAAAAGAACCAACCATAGTAGGACCATTAGCTCTATTAGAAATGACCAGTTTGAATTAAAGCTAACAATGTTCAGTTTAACACCTGCAAACTGAACAGGATATTTTTTAAATTTATAGAAGAGCCATTGCTAGCTATATACAGAGTTGAGTGATCCAAGGCCACTGGTTTTAATTCAAATATGTTCATGCTGACCTGACACAACCTCTTTCATGAAGTAAGGTCTCTCATGGAAGATGTTCTTAGGTATTAGAAAAAATATTACAGGTTATTGGAAACTATTTTTTTTTTACAAATAAAAAATTATTTAAAATAGTATCCAAAAAACACCAGAGCATCAATAGACATATAGATATCCCAGAAATATACAATAGCTTAATACACAATCCTGATACATAAAACTACATTCTAGATAAACAATAGCAATTTCCCGATTAATTTATGTATATAAATTTAATTCAGACATAAAATATTCATTTTAAGACAAGTAATCCTTTCAATATATTCAATATAATCGGCCAATATTTCTAGGGGCAAAAACGCATCTCTTTATAAAGGCTTTTTAGATTTAAACTAAATCACGTGGGCATGGAATTCACTCACGCTATACGAGACCAAAGAAGGATACCATCCATTTGTGTACAAACATTTCTACTTGAAATTGTTTTCAAAAAATTTGTTTTCAAATATTCCTGAAGAAGGGCTGTTTACGCCCGAAAGCTCAAAATATTTTTATTTTAAAATAAAAGAAACTTATCCTCGGAATTTTATATGTTGCTGCTAAAATAGATTAATTTAAGGAAAAATTGGATTTTTTTTAATGAGGTACAAATTAAAATTATACATCACAAGAATATAAATCAAGAATCACGAGGTGGAAAGACCAAATCCAAATAACTAAAATAAATATATATTTATGTAAAAAAAAGGGATGTGCCTGGATATATGAAAGAAAAGAAACTTTTTAAAAATAACTTGCAATGAATTGCTCCCTCATTACCAAGATTTTGTGCAATAAATAGATATTTTTATTAATTTATTATTGCACCAAAACTTGTTGAAGAGGGGGCCAAAATCCCCAGAAGTATTTTGAAAAAGTTTTTTTTTTTCATAGATCCGTCTATGCCCTTTTTATATAATTCAATTCACTGGATCACCTTGAAATTCCATGCAAGGTTTAGGTAACATGTGTAGATGTGTCTATTGGTATTTTTGAAGTTATGCTGTAACATAAAAATTTAGTGTTTTAGATTTGGACTTTTCACATTGAGAAGATGTTTTATTTCTGGTTAATAAATATAAGAATTTTTGTTTATAAGAAAATAATATTCCAAGTTTTATAATAAAACCGTATCATTATAAAGGAAGTATCTAGTTTTATTATCTCCCAAGTATTTGTGTGATGAAAGGTAAAGTCAAACTTCCATTTAAAGATCCTATCTATGGAACAGGGGAGAGAGGAGTTCAATGAAACAGCAGCAGAAGTTTTGAGGCATCATCTCTCATTCAGTAGGACTTACAAACTTATGGGCCCCAATTAACAAATGGGTATTTAAAATACTGATTTTTTTTTCCTAAAAGCATTTTTTTGATAATTGGGAGTAAATTTAGTTTTTTTTTTGTTGTTTTTTAGTGAGTTTTTCAATTAATGAGATATCATGGAGGAAATTTGAGTCCATCAGGTGGCAGATAGAGTGACAGCCATTAGATGTGTTGTTATCTGACAATATCTTATAAAATCCTGGAACAACAGCCATCAACAGTGTGGCAGGCTTAGTCTGTTGTGTGGGGATAGACATAAAAAGCCACAAAACCCAATGAGAATACTGGTTGAATGTAGAAATTATGTTCTGCTATTAAAAGCAAACACTACCATCCAACGGCTGTATCTGGATCCATGTTAATGTCCACAGCCAAATTGTCTGTTCCTGTTAAGAGCAACTTACATTTAAAGCTAAGTGACACAATATATGCTTCAGATTCTTGGAATCAACAGCATTTAGACATCCCTCTTTAAGACAACTTCATTAGGTGGCCTGGCTTATAGGCACTGGGCTTAGAGGATGAGGGTCACCACTTTATAAAGACAAAGAAAATGTTGTTATATAGTCTTATTAGATTGATGGTCTTTCTATGGAAGTTTGACTTGTGTATGTAAACGTGCAACTTTCCAAGATGAATTGTGTGGATAATCCAAGCATCAAGGTTGTATTGAGGTAACATTGGAACAACAAGTAAGTAAACTCATCATTTGTTTTCTTCATCTTCACAGTGATAGTCACTGTTGTGGTACTCATAAGTCATTTCTTATAGTTTAGAAACATTTATCTGAATTGAAGAGTTTTTAATCTAAAAAAAAAAAAAAAATTGAGCTTCCTTTCTTAAACTATCCATAAGTTAGTTAATCAATCATTAACATAACTATTTAATGATAAGGCACAATTTGGATTATAGATTATAAGCACAAGGTAATAATACAATATAATGCGGCCTGTGATTGTAAAACGACATTTGAAATAATATCCCGCATGTGTTTCTTTTCAACGACCCATCCCTGGACACTTTTATTTTTCCCGTTTATCATTACTCTTCACAATTCACCCTTTCATACCCCATCCAAAAGGTTAGAAATGATCGTTGTTTCTCTCCTTGAAATAAATTTAGATTTTTCGTTGAAAAGAAACACATGCGGGATAGTATTTCAAATGTCGTTTTACAGGGTAATAAGACCAAATAAATAGTATGTGTGATGTTTCGGTAACAGTGTTGTCTTTTGTCTGAAGATGGTAACAACGCTGTTACCGAAACATCACACACTATTTATTTATTTGGATTTGGTCTTATTACCTTGTGTTTATAATTATTTAATGTGTTGATATAAAGAGCTAGATATATATCAGAAAACTTCCTGTTATAGTTGATAAAGAACAATTTGGATTATAGATACAAGAAAATAAGACCTAAATCCAAATAATTTAAATTTGTAAAATTTTATAGTTGAACACTAGTAACTTAAAATTGTATAAGTTATTTGCATATCTCTCATGAAATATTGTATTTCTCTCTCTCTTTCTATTTCACGGTAGGATAAGTCCCATAATAAATGATAAGGTACAATTTAGATTATAGATAATGATATCACAAGGTAACAGGAACAAATAAGTATATATATGCGTGTGTGTCATTTTGGGAATAGCATTGTAGCTGAAACCTTTTCGTATAAATTACCTATTTGGTCTTGTTACCTTGACACATTATTTTTAAACTGGTGAAACTGCTGGGAGGGTTCACCACTGATGAGCCAGGCCCTCCCATTAATTTTTCCAT